TATATAAATACATACATACATACATACATACATACATACATACATACATACATACATACATACATACATACATACATACATACATACACATATCATTATCAAGTGCCGTATCTGCGGCATACATCGGTGATCACGGACCTCCATACATTAAAATTTCTTTGCTCGGATGATCTTAAAATATAAAAGCTACGTTACGCTCACCTTTCTCCGTTACCCATTTGCTTAGTTTCCCCAAATAGGTTGCTCTGGGCCTGCCCCTGCCTCGTTTGCCTTCAATTTTGCGAGTGATTGCTAGATATTCAAAACCTTTATGTCTCTTCAGGTGTCCTAAAAATATATATTATTATTTGTCTTTTCCTGATTGTTTTTATCCGTGTACTTCCCACATGGGCTTCTTCAAGTAATTCCTTATTTGATTTTTTTCCTACCAATGATAATAATTTATATTTTCATCAGTCTCCCTAGAAACAAACATTTCTATTGCTTCTTTATTATTTTCACAATCTTTAATGATGGTCCAGCATTCACAGCCAGATAGAAGTGTGACCAAGCATAGCATTTCAGACCTTTCATTTTGGTAGTCATTCAGATGTTTCTATTTTTCACGATTGGGCTCATTTGATTGAAACTATCCTAAGCCATTGCAATTTTTCTTTTTTTTTCTGTGGAACATTTGGCATCAAATTATATTAATTATATCCTAGATGTTTAAACTTTTGAAAATGCTTGATCTATTCGTCTTTGTTTAGGAGATTACACATATGATTTTCTGCTTTTTTAGATATCACCATGCATTTTGTTTTCTTCACATTCAATAATAACCATTTACGTTCACTTTCCGTTTCAACAGTATCTGGAAACGATAGAAGGTCCTTTTCTGAGTATGCTATTAAAACTGTGTCATCGGCCTATCTGGGGTTATTAATATTTTAGTTACCCACTTTGAGACCTGGGCATTCTTCTATGGGTCTAAGGATTGTTTCACTGTATGTGAAATGAGTCTGGCGGCATAATATATATTTGCCTCCCTCCTCTTCTAATTTGCTTATATTCGCTTTATTCTCCGTTAATTCTTACAGCAGAGTTTTGGTCCCACTACAAATTCCCGATGATTCATTGATCTTTTCCATTTATGTCTAGCTCTTCCAGTATTTAAAGTAGTTCATCATGTCTAACTTTATCGAAAGCCTTTGAATAATCTATGAAACATTAATACAGATCTTTCTGTGCTTCATTACATCTTTCCATTAACATTGTTAAGGTGAATATATTATAATTTCTGGTGCCCTTGTTAGGAACAAAACCGATTTATGTTTTAGATATCTCTAGCCTTAGATTTTTCTCATCTTTTTAATAAGTACTAACAGCAAGATGTTTGTAAATTGACTCATAATACTTAGCGTTCTTTGCATATCACACTCAGTGGCACATGGTGTTTTAGATAAAGCTATAAAACCTGACTTTATCATTTCTTTTGAAATGTCACCGCGGTCATAGATAAAATCTAAGAACTTCGCTGTTATTTCAAAAAATGGTATGGTATGGTATAGGTTTAACGCCCCTATCAACACTATTAGGTTATTTAATGGGCAGGACCTCCTAGTTTAACGTCCGTTTCCGATAGGACCGAGCCAAGTGGGAAGTTCGTGTAAAGTGCCTTTCACAAGGGCTGTTCTTTCAGTGCCTAGTCATATTCATATATAATGTATATTCCCTTATACATAAACGTCCAAAATAATAAATATGCAAATGTTTATTTGGAAACTTATATATATCTACACAATACATAAATGTGCTTGAATAGTGTAGTGCAATGTTTTAGACATAGAAGCTAGACTTATCTCCTTATTCCACGATCATGCTTTCTCTGCTTTTTCCTATGTTAAATACCGGGGGGGGGGGGGTAATTACTGTATCATTATTACCTTCTCTTTGGCCCTCTTTCCAAAAATTTGTAATCAATATTAAGTCATGTTTTAATATTCTGACTAAGACACGTCACACGTTTAAAAACGGAAAACTGAGTACAACAATGTAATATTTTAAGTAGAATGATAGTTGATAATAAGAACATTGTCAATTGTCATAGAACGTAACTCCTTGGATAAAATAAGTTGACTTTACATTCCTCCATTATTGTAACTGTTGGAATTTTGTACAAAGCCTTACTCGACACGTTTTAACTTCCGTCTCCAGAATGGACTGATATCAGCGCTGCCTTACGTTGGTTTTTTCCTCATGTTGAACTTATCTGGTGCTTGCTCTGATTATATGATGAAAAAGAAAGTCTGCTCTTTAGAAGTATTGCGAAAAATTTGGAATGCCATCGGTAGGTGAAGTTTGCTTTTCCAGCTGCAACAATCTAAAAGTATGTTATTAGATTCATGCCCTTCGCAATCCTGAAGGAAATAATTACTGATAGACTGGTATCAATCAACAATTAATTATTTCCCTCTTGAGTCCAAAGGGGCTATTTTCTATTACGTTTGCAATTTTTTCTTTGTTTTTGTTTGTTTATTAGTTCGTTTGCCTTTCGGGGGCGGGCACTTAAAATGTGTACAGAATAAAGATACTGGTTTTTTTGTGGAAGTCATCGGCAAAAAATCTCTATATTAATCGATGATGAAGGAAAGTAAAATCAAATGCTCCACAGTATCATAAAAACTGAAAGCTACGAGAATGAAGGGGAACCATTTTTTTTCATTAAAATAATATTATTTCAAATTAGTTGTCATGGGAATGGACTAACAAGGCTTCCACGTTAAGGCACAAGGGAAAATATTTGTTTTTTCTCGTTTCTTTCCATAAAAAGACAATAAGCAGGGGAGGAAATTGTATTGGCATTATGAAATGAATCTTAATTTGATTGTCGAACATAAAACTAATTTTTAAAAACAACAAACAATATCATAACAATGAATTGTATCTGTATTCCTCAGGACTGGTTGGTGCGGCTGTTTCTATCATAGCTCTTGGCTTCCTGAACTACACACAGCCTGTAGCGGCGGTCACCGTTCTCGTTATAACAGTGTCCATGCTGGGTGTCTGTTATGCCAGCTCCATCCTCAGTAACATCGTGAACATTGCGCCTCGATTTTCCGGAATTGTACATGGCGTTGCAGCTACAGTAGCCTTTCTTGTCGACGAATCTGTTCCTGCTCTCGTTGGAGTCGTCACTGCAGAAGTGAGAAAATGCGTTTGTTGGCTGATTTTGTTGTTGTTGTTGCTGTTGTTGCTGTTGTTGCTGTTGTTGGAGCTACAGTTTTTTGTTGTTGTGGATGTCGTTGTTGTTGTTGTTTATTCATTTAAAATGCATTGAGAGTTCACAAAAATCCTTAATGTTTTGTACATTTCTTCTCGGAATATGGAACTTGTAGATAACAACTGTACTTGCATGTGTTCTGCGTAGTCTGACAGCCAACAGAACAAAGGAAACAGTTAGTACAATAGCGTAGATTCAGATTACTAATTATTGATATTTCCTCCAATCTTTAAATTTATATTTTGTCATGCCTTTCGTTTTTTCTAGAGAGTTAGAGGACAGACAAGTGAATATTATTTTGAAGACTGTAAGAGTACAGACAAAAGTACCATAATCTGGTGGCAGACCTATGCACGATTGACCTTCACCCTCTTCTATGTACTCCCACATCACTTTTCTTTATAATTCTTTCTTCAAAACGTTATTGTTTTCTTCTCCAGCAAACTCAGGCCGAGTGGCGAACCATGTTCTTCATATGCGCCGGTGTGTATATTTTTGGAACCGTGTTCTACTGTATTTTTGCTTCCGTCAAGGTACAAGATTGGGATCGGGACGATGATGAGAAAAAACCAATTTGGAACGGAAGTCACGCAAACATAGATGAATACAAAAGTGCAGAATAATGAAGCCTCGTCCATGGGGTTTCATGTATTTAATACACTATGTGACATCAGTTTTATGCATACACAATCTACTATAGTTATAAAAATAAGAAATGAATCGCATTCTTCCTTCTATGCCCCAGCATTGCCACTAGTGTTTTATTGTATGTCACACGGACACATGTCCAAATTTGGGTTATCTTAAAGCCTTAAGGGAAGAGTGGTCTTCAAACTTGAGGATGATGGGGAAAATTGTGATACCAGGGCTTTTAACACTTGAGCTTAATAAAACCATCAATGAAAATATTTGGGGAACACATAATAATATTATTATTATTGTTACATAAAATCGACTTGTTAAATACTGCAGTACCTCAAAAATCGTATCATTTTGATAAAACATATTCTTATCTAACTTATTGTCGTTTTTCGCATAACTTTCATTTCTTATCGCTTTTTTTCATTGGTTTTCCGGTTGTTGGTTGGTTTGTTGGGGTTTTTTTTAGTTTAATTTTCATTCCAATGATGCCTTCAGGAATCATTGTTCACATCATAACCTAACTTCGTACAGATAGACACATGAATAGATGCATTTGTAATTGAGTTATTACATTATTACCTACGTAGCATCCATAAGCCCACTGCACATAAGCATATTTTAAGTATATCAACCAATACACCAAATGTGAATAACTTTGACTTGAGTTTTTTAAAATCTGTTTTAATCTAATGAAAGCTGTTTATTTATGACATGACTGCCTTGGATGTCAAGAAAAGTGTTCTATTGCTGTTTAAAGATATGTCTTGTTATGCTTCCTTGCAACATTTACCTGATGGCTCCTATTTACTAAGATATGTCTGAAAAGTAACCCCTCAAGGCCCCCCCATACACACACAATAACACAAACCATTAAAAGAAACTTCTCCAAACCTTTTCACTTAATCAGCAAGAAAAGAGAAAAGAGAGCTTCAAATATAAGTGTCTTTCCATTCTACAATTTCCTTTGGCATCGAAGATTAAATGTTTTGGTTTATGTTGTTTGTTTTTTGGATTGTTTTTTAAAAATAACTTTGTAAAGTTTTTGTTTTGTTTTGTTTCGTTTTGTTGTTATTGTTTCTTTTGCTTTGTTTTTGTTTTGTTATATTTTCTTTGTGTATTGTGTCTATGAAGTCGTGCATAAAGGGAAAAAAGAAAACTTTCAAGGTCAGCTTTCACAAAATAAGTTACCATCGAGATGGAGTTCAACAGCTGCAATCTGTCAATCACGGGGGGGGGGGTTTTCTGTCAGGACAGCAACTATATCAACATCGTCAACCACAATCGTCCTCTTTAATGCAGTATTGATAAACAGTTGAGATGCACATCATATTAAACTTGTTGAAGAGAAACAGGTCTCTCAGACCGCTTACTGATCTTTCATTTTATTTTTCTTTTGTATGATTTGTCTTTGGTCACTTCTCAGCGGGCAGCGTTTTCGAAGAGACGTTTCGCTATAAGCGTGCAGAATATTAATACCCTGATTAGGACATTGTAAACGGAACGTTTTTATACTGTTTCTATTCTTTACATTAATATTGGTTTATTGGTTACCCGCACCACAACTTTTATCTGATAGAAACCCGTTTTATTTTAGTTATTGCACTTAAACACTTTGCATTTGAAAATACTTCCAATTATTACCTAATTTTAGGAGGTTGATCAATGAAATCCGACTAAAGTGTCCCAAATATCGATATTAGAACATAGATCGCCTACCAAGGTAAATTACACAAAATTGACTAGTGGTTTTAGTCTTGCTTGCATTCAATAAACAAGAAACTGTTTTGGTCATTGGCAATGTTTTCCGCTACTGAATTGACTTTGTTTTTATTAAGAGCAACTATGTTTTAGCTCTGCGTTTGGTGAAAGCTAGCTGTGACCCAATCTCTCTACTTTTTAACACTGCGGATGTCGTAACTACTTCTCTGGTTCGGGGTTTGTAAGCTGGAAATTTATGGAATCTCTTTTGTATATATCAAGAATACTTTGGGCTTTTATTGTTTTTAATCTAATTAACCTATTGAAAGAATGCAAGTGAAAACTGTTGAATACGACGTAGGCAAATTTATGGTAAAATGGCGCTGCAACAACTATTATTGTTTGCTGCTACAGACTTAACAAGCTGGAGTACAGTTAAATGGGTATATCAATATAAAAAAACAATAACACTTATATTATGAAGGGAGGAATTGTGGGCACACATGAATGCGTAAGCGCGCGGACACAGTGGAGTCGCTTTCACACCTCACCATCCACTCACCAACACCAAACAATCACCTGTTTGACGACGCTGAATTTTAATTCGTGCAACTTAATCTATAGTGCACTAGACAGAGTGGAAGCTGTTCACTCTCCCCGCACCATTACCAACCGTGCACAAAAAATAGTTTGTGGCTTGCTAACTAAGTGCTGCACTAAAATTGTAGTCATCTTTGCATACCAGTCGACAGACAATTGTTGTTGATCAGTGAACATGAAACCTGAGGTTTTAATTGCTGCTGTCCAAATATAAGATAAGATCAGGTCTTTATGACAAAACTTGTTTACTTGTTTACTTGTTTACTTGTGTGAAGGACCGACATCACTGCACAAGGGGCATTCCCATAAGCGCTCCGTCCCCTGAAGAAGCACATCTCGAAGTGTGTAGATGCGGACGGTTCCAAGCAATGGTTGACTCCATGTCCTTCTGCTCCTCCCACTCAGTCTTGAACTTCTTCAGGCGCCCCATCCAATTTCAAGCTCACGAAGGCGCTCAAGATGATGGCATTCCATCTCTTCTTGTTCTTTTTCTTTTCACCTTGACTGACCGTACAATTTCATGTTTGTCAGGGCCCAGCTTCCTTTCTGGTTTTGCTTTCCCAGCGAGCTCATCATTTTTATGACAAAACTGATTCCAACTACAACACACACGCGCACACACACACACACACACACACACACACACACACACACACACACACACTCACACACACTCACACACACACATATATATACACACACACACACACACACACACACACACACACTCACACACACACACACACAAGCAAAAATAATGTTGTCAATGTTGTCGGTTGTTGCTAGCATTGAAGTTGAAAACTGAACATGGAAAACTATGATACCTTTCTGCGTAATACGGCAACTGCTCAGAATGCAGCAGGTCTAACTTTACTGTACATGTACTGAGTGTTACAGGACATAATATTCTTCCACTGCAGGGAGCCTTCTCGAAAATTGGAATATTTCATTAATGTTTCTTCAGTTTGCATTCCTCTCTAGGTAGCTCTTGTACCAGTTGTCTGAATGTTGTGATATGTCGATTCTGGGGTTGCCTTATTTTGCTCCTTTTCGATCAAGGTGGATCAATGAGGCTCATGGATCTGTGTAACGTTATGAAGAACTGTAATCGCCTTCACAACATTTGTAGCAGACTCGGGGTGCCACCATCTTGGTGAACGTTGACAGGGGAGGAGAACCCGACTCAACTCTGCCCCCCCCCCCCCCCTCTCACCTTCTTTGGGGCGCATCAAAATGGTGAGACGTTGGTGAAGGGGTGGTGCGGTGGTGTGAAGGGGACTTCTCTGTAACCGCGCGCTATCCCTCGCTCTCTTTCTCTGTCATGTTTTTTTTTTCTCTCGTCCTCTCCAGACGGGATGGGGTGAGAGATTTGGGAGGGGGGGGGGGGATACAAATGTTTATGTTAATAGTAGGTGTGATTCTGTGCGCTGAAGGGAACCAATCCTTTTAAAAGAGAAGCTTAGATCTACCTGTCCTGTTGCATTATGACTGTTGTGTCTTTGAATATTTGTTTGTTTGGGGTTTCATCAACTGTTTGTTTTTTAATCTAAGAACTGTTGGAATACACAATATGTGTTTTACATCCCCACAAACACAATTTAGACAGTATAGGAGGCGGGCGTCAACCTTGCATTTAGTTGGGCTAACCAAGGCTAAGAGTCTCAGCACATAGACCCAGACAGGTATTAGTCACTGTGAAAGTTTAACGCCCCTTCCAACACTGTAGGCTTATTTCAGAGACGAGACCTTTCCATGCTGACCAAGCCAGATGGGTGGAGAGCCTTCAAACCTCCTCAAAAAGAACCCAAGTTCCGAACGCCCCATTGAGGGTCCCCCCCCCCTCCCCCTATCTTCCGACTGAAATACTGGCTAAAAATGTTCCACACACGAGACGGGAATCGAAGTCACATCGCATGCGTGCACTGGTGAAGCTACAATTGTATGTGTGTGTGTGTTTGTGTGT